ACGGAATTTGGAGGACACTTTTTTAGTTGGCTGTAAGACAGGAGTGATCTATCTTGTTATGCACCATCTTTGTTATTACTTACTGTCATGATATTAATTTTCGCAGGTCATCGCGTACTGTGAGAACGAGCAAATCAACAAGAAGATCAAATACGAACGTATCATCATCCCCCTCTTCTGTTCTTGCAAGAGCATCGACTGCCAGAAGCAACAAGAACGACACGTTATCCATTACTAGAAAACACGCCAAATTACGAGCTGTATAGAATAATAAGTATTATATACACGCTCACCTTTGGACGGTTTTCTGTCTTTGGTCTGCATTTTTAAACGGAAGTGAGACCCAATCGTGTAAAGAAACTGGGTGCAGGATAAGTAAAAAGTCACGAACGACACAATATGCAGTTAAGCGGGGTGTACACTTATTCAACTAGTTGGGGGTTTGCAGAATCTGATCAGATCGAATGGTCGGGAGGATAAGTGTACTTTTCACATGGAATAAATCGGTTTAATGACACCTTTACCTCAAGATTGTGTGGCTCTCCCGAGCAATTTGATCAGGATAATGTTGATATTATATTTTAGCACAAAGGATCTCGGGCTCTGTCGAGGTACAACAACATTGAACCAGTACAACCCCTTTGGTTAAAGAAATTTTATTCTAGTGACGATTTGGGGGCAAGAGCAGAAGCCCTTCAGACTAATTCAAGCTTCCTATAGTAATTGCGGGATGTTATGTTACCTCCCCCCCCCCCCCCCCCCCCCCCCGTTCCTCATTCAACCATTCCTATTCCTTCTTCTTTCCCCTCTGGCCCCAATTAATAGCCTTGTACCAGGCAATCTTTACGTTTCTCGTCTTTCTACGCTTCTACTCTTGGAACACCGGTGACTCTTTCAGAATAAACCCTTGATCTTTCTACTGCTTTAACAGTAACCATTATTTTCATGGAAATGGGGAGTCGTGTTTGGATTCTTGTCTGCACTTTTGAACTTTTCCTAATTGTTTGTACATTTCTCATCAATATTATATTATTGAATTTTATACTGTCGCAAAATAAAACTTCTTCGATTCTTCGAGCCACTGGTGTTTGATTTTTTTTTATTTTGCTCTCTCCCTTGAATTGGGAGTTTTGGGTAGTTGTGGTGAGGTTCTGGTGTGATTGGCAATTGTTTTACCGTGCTCGCAACTGCATGAGGTCATATCATGAGCGCGCGGGACACATTTAACATTTTCAGTTGGTAGGAAATATTGAATTTTGCCCAGGTGGAGGCCGAAGCCTATTCTTATCGATTTTGGAAATTTGGACCACTAAGGGATCTTTAACGTGCACAACTTGTACACGGGAACCACGAGATTTTCCGCTCTCGTACCTTAAGGTCAGGGGTGTGACTGAAAAAAGAAATAAGAAGGAGCGTTGTGTCCTTGGGAAAGGCACTTCACATGGATTTTCCTCACTCTGCTCAGGTGGAAATGGGTACCCGACCAAACGCAGAGAAAGCTTTTGTCTGTACGTGGTTGTTTTAGCGACTTTAAATGACAGCTTGCTCTGTATACTTACCAGGAAGTTGATATAATAATCATTTCAGAATGCTATAAGTCCGGTCTGCTGGGGTAATAATTTAGTTAATAGATTGTTAAGCGCATAGAGCTTGCTGTTAAGCAGGAATTTATGCTATACAAAATTAAATGCTATCTATCTATCTATCTATCTATCTATCTATCTATCTATCTATCTATCTATCTATCTATCTATCTATCTGTCAATCTATCTATCTATCTATCTATCTATCTGTCTGTCTGTTTATCTATTATTAATATTATTATTAGCCTATTATTATTATTATTATTATTATTATTATTATTATTATTATTATTACTATTACTATTATTATTATTATTATTATTATTATTATTATTATTATTATTATTATTATTATTATTATTATTTTTATCATCATCATCATTATTACTACTATTATTATTATTAAGCGTATTTAGCCGGATGCATTCATACAAACTTTTATTGACTACCTTTCACTAATCCAAGTGGGTATCTAAAGTGGCTCAAAGTGTAATATAGTTGAGCTTTGGTGATTGTCAAGTAGGCTCATTCAAATTGCAGTAACGCTGACTACTTGATTCAGTGGCACTAATAATCTAATCATTTTCGTATCTAAAAAGTACATGTAATATTAACCCCTTCATGGCCTACATCACGTATGCTGTTCGTTAGTTTTTCTTATACGGGGAATGAAGCAAGTAGCTGTTGCTTTAAGGGGAGGGGTCACAGCTGGCTGTTTTAAGGCTCGACTGATATAAAAAAAATAGAAATTTGACATCGTGCATTAAAAACTTTGAAAAAAAAATTATTCAATAATAAATCATTGCACTTGCAAGAAATTTGGCACGCCAGTTGCTTGCATGCCGCCTAACTCTGTTTACAAAAACTCTTAATGTATCTTCACAATTTTTAATTCGATGTCGTGTTTTATCTTTTAATCATGTTTTTTCTCAAAACTTTATTTTCTTACACACTTTTCTGGACTACTCTTTTTAGCCCCATCCTGGGACCCCTCCCCTTGAAGTACGGCGTTCGTCATGCCTTGCTAAGAACGAGGACCATGATGACGAAAGCCGTTCGTCATAATATTTTCCATTCGGCATACAGTTTCTACTGGAAGTATTTCATTATACTTATTACACATTCGCATTCAACGATATTTTTTCCGTATATAGAAATCTATTCCTTTTAGAGATAGTAAATTTATAAACTGGGTCTAATTGTAGGCAAGATGAAACAACTAAATCTAGTGCTATTCTTGTCCCTGGTGATCCAAAGCTGCCCGGTGAAGCACAAACTGACCCTGTGTCATGAAGGTGTTAATATATTCAAAAGAAAATGCAGTACGAATTTACTGTCATCGTTGAAAAAAAAATCTGAACTTCGTTCGACCCTGATTTACAAGATGTAATTTTTTTTTAAATAGCAGATTCAATGGAATTCGCTTGAACCGAAATCTGCGAACCTGGCGAAAGGTTGTTGTTTTTTTTCCATTTAGCCAGGTTTTTGGTTTAGAAGCTGCTCATGTTATAATAGGTCTATGTAGAAGAAAAACACCCTTTTCCGGTTTACCACTATCCTCTGATTAATCCTGTTTGGTTCTAGAGGATGCCGCTGTAGTCCTACTATTTTTTTCTTGCAACAATGGAGATGAGATTTATATACCAATTCCATGCTGTAGCATGATCTAAGCTGAAGACTGATATAGGCCTACATGATACTCAGAATTTATGTTCAGACTTTCAACCCCTTAAACCCACAAATACCTGCTGCAACAGCAGCAATAAAAGAACCATAAAAAACATGAAAAATCCAGAATAAATTGGTCTTTGTGACCAAAGCATGTCTACATACGTGTATGTATTGGGAGTTTAAAAGAAACCAAGCCCAAGTCATGTCACTCTTTATTCTGGCATATACAGTCCAACCTCGTTACACCGCCTAACTTGGGACGAGCATAAAGTTGGAAGGATCAGCGGGGCTAGCGGTATAACAGTATGCTGAATCGACCTACCGAATGTTATCTGGACAAGTGGTAAACTGGTAGAGACTAACGACAAACTGTGGCCAGTTTTGCCTCTCTTAGATAATAATATGCCTTGAACAGTGGAAAAAAAATAATAGCAACCAAATGTAGGCCTACAGCTCCAACTAAACTTTAACTACTCGTACTGTAAGTAAATTCAAATCGAAAGAAGCTAGGATCAGAAGCTAGGCAGTATATTGAATCAAAGACCCTGCGGACGTTTTTTTTTTCCTGATTGATGCTCGTCAGTCCTAGGGCGGCCCCTGACCTCTCCAGTAAATTTGAGCGTGAACCCTCACGACACATATATAGGCTACGCAATTGCGGACACAGAAATTCAAGTTCTCCTATACACACGCAATTGTAGGGACACATTGAGTCTTCTTTACGCTCAGTGTCAGGTTCGCACTGTCGTACCAAACTGGAAGAAGGGACATCGAATCTACAAGAAAGGCTACTATTGAGTGATTTGAAGGAAAGCCACCTTGAGTTACATTTCATTATGTTGCTATGCAACCTCGCGTTTTCTGTTTTTCTGAGGCAGTTTTCAGCTGAAAATCTGAGGAATCCAAAAAGTCAGAAAATTTAAAGAACAGTTGTTCTGGCTGCACGGATGTTTCTGAACTTCTTATCTCAAGAAAAAGGTAAAAGAGTGAAGACTCAGGTGATTTATCAATTCTTATCCTCTCACCTAACCACGTTTAGGCCCGCGACAGAAAAGGGGAAACATAATTAAAGAAGAGATAAATTAACGGAATTGCGTGCATAGCAAAGTATGAAATCTTGCATGCAGTTGCGTGCGTATACCAAAAAAAAGAATTGTGTTGGTGCCCGCAATTGGGTGCGTATAGCAAAAAATGTGTTTGTATGTACGTACGTATAGAATAGCAAAATTGTGTTAAATTGGTGCACACAATTGCGTGCGTATAGACACTCCCATAACCCTCACAGGCGCCCGTCAGCCTTTTGGTCGCTGGCTGATACCTGGCCACGCCAGATGTTAATTTTGATTTCAGGCCGGGCTGACGCCGATACTTTGAAGTTTCTCCATACGAGTTTAAATCTTCTTTCCAGTTGTTGTTTTTAAAGTATTGGCCAAATCCTTAAAATAAAAGCATTTCATAATCAGCGCAAATAATGACAAAATCGGCAAGCGCCTAAGAATAGGAGAGATTACAAAAAAGTGTATGGGAAAGAGATTATCAAGTAGCCACTGAGTGGGCGCCGTGCGCCGTGTGTAGAGTGAACCTCTGGCGGCACAGCACCTATCAAACATCTATCGTCCTTATCTCTCTTTTTTGAAAAAAAAAGATGATATAAAGTTGCTAAAGAATACCCGCTCCCTCCAACCCCACCAAAAAAAGCAGAAATTGTCAGACACAAACATGCATTAAAAAAGAAAGAAAGGCCTCTTTGCTACAAACTGATACTACATCTGTAGCAGATTTTATTTCAATCACTGGCATTCTTTCTGTAAAGGATATGGGGTCACAAAAAATGAATTTGAATTACAAAGTTCATGCAAATGATGTGTAACAGCAGAGATGGAAACATTTCTTTGGTACAGCCTTCGGACAGAACAATAACATTCAATAAGATATGTCTTCATTGATTGGAATTCCTTGCTGAACAGTAACCATGAGAAAAATTCATTACCACAACAAACCTACAAAATTACAGAAACACACAAAATTATAAAAGATTCTTTGTATTTAACCTACATAAAGGAAAGATTACTCTATCTCGCTGATTTCGCTATGTGCCTGCTGAACTGTGTATAGGCCTAGATGTTCTTTATTTGAAACTTCACATTCCTCAACATAGCATCACTTTAGGAGACAAACCAGGGAAATATTCAAATGTGAAGCATCATGATACAATCAGGTGCTCGTCAAAATATTGAAATCGAAGAAACAGGCATTTTACGCCAGTTTGTCAATTTTTATCGGAGTTTTGTATCTTGGCTCAACACATTTTAAGTCAATATGAAAACACATTTCCATGTGAATTTTACTGGAAAACATTGATTAAAGGTGCAAAATGTGCAAATTTCCAGTCTTCAAGGACTCTCAAGCTATTGAAATCACCAAACTTTGGCCGCCATTTCTCGCTTATTTTACCTCTGAAACCAGGTGACCCCCCACCTCCTTCAATTGCAAATATCTCAACTTCCATTTAAGATAGATGGAAATGTTTTTCATTGAAAGCAAGGCAAATGAATAAGTTAATAATAAGCTTTCAGATGATACAAATAACTCCACGTGCCCAAAAATAAACGAGCACCTGATTCCACTGCGTCATGACACAAAAGTAATGTGACATAATGTGCTTGCCTGTAAGTTAAAAACTCCACTGCCTTTCATTCAACACGCTACAAGCAATGGGTTTGGCCATCCTTTCAATATTCCAGTATCAATATCTCATATCGATCTCAGACTTGTCCAACTCCTTTAAAGCATTATATACACAATCCATTCAATCTTAAAATGAAATCCATAATCATACACATGATTGTCATACCTTTTTGCAGAATATGGACATTGACAATTCTGCAATCTTAGTACTTCTTGCTGTTTGGTATTCAAGCATGCAACATCTAAAAATCATTTGACATGTTTAACGGCCTCATAGAGACAATTTAAATCATTTAAGGGGCAGGCTGCTTCAACCTGCCTGCCTGTCAGGGTCACCCTGGGCTGAGAGGGAAACGAAGTCCTGACGACAAATGAAGATACTTTATAAAGTACCAAACCACTTAGCCATTGAACTCATGTCTTCTGTGCGTCAAACTACTACACCACAGACACTGGTGCAAAATCTCGTTCAGTGTGATAGAGAAGAATCAGTCAACAGCACTATTGCAATAGGACCTGTAACACCAATCAAACATACCACAAATTAGTAATGCTTGAAACTACACTAATACTGTCCTTTAAAAGAAAATAAAAAGCACACGTAATCATTTTCCATCATGGGTGGGGAATTCACATCTTCTGCCTCAGACAGTGAAGACCCTAACCATTATAAGAGGAAATCAGTGAGAGAGCAAGTGAGAGAGAGAGAGAGAGAGAGAGAGAGAGAGAAGAGAGAGAGAGAGAGAGAGAGAGAGAGAGAGAGAGAGAAAGAGCCAGAGGCAGAGAGAGACAGAGGCAGAGAGAGACAGAGAGACAGAGACAGAAGTCAGATTATGAATACGACAAGATGACACTAGCGACACTGCTTATTTGCGACGGTCAGGGAAACATGTAAGACAACTATATGGGAGCCTCTCTCGGCTCAACAAGGATCTCGTTGACAGCGACGTACTGAGGCTGTGACACAGTGTACACAATGGCCGAAGCCACGTCGTTCGGTTCCAAAGCCTGAATCTTGCTGCCAACATCAAACTGCTCAACTGCCTGCAAAGACACCAAGACAAGAAGAAGAGAAATAAGACATGGACAAAAGCAAGATATTGAAGTAGGAAAGGGGAGGGGCGAAGGGTGGGGGTGGGGGTGGAAGGTTAACAAATAGACACCAGCAGGAGGGGGAAATTTCACTGTCAGGTGTATATATACAATTCTTTGAAAATTCGAAATTAATACATGTATAGGCAAAGTGTTTTTAAGCCACCATCAAAAACAACAATGATTCAAGTTTACTTTCTATGACCTACACTTAACAATTAACATTTATAATTGTGCCTTGTGGGTAAACGTAGCCAAAACACAGAATCAGTTATGCACTTCACAACTCGATAGAAAATCAAGAGCCTAAGCTTTCTATACTAGGTATGTTGAGATGTACACCGAAACTTCACTTGCACAGCTCTAGGACGATCTTTTAAGAGAAGGGTAAGGGTACTGTAAAGACAAATAAAAATCTAGAACACCTTTTTCAGAAGAGCAATATTGTCAACATGAATATAAAACATATATTTAGTAATGAATTGGAATGGGGTTAAGTCTATAGTGAGTGAAGTAGCAAACAAATCACAAAAAGGGAGATGTTAATGCCCTATAAACCATTTCCCTAGTATAGATCAGTTCATTATAAACGATTAATACATTTATAGCTTTGAAAAAACGGTCACTCATAGAAAAATTAGAATCCACAAAAAAGATTCTTTCAAAGTTCCTTTTACACTACACTTCATCATATTTCATTTCCGCTGCTAACCATACCTCTTTATCGGTGGAGATAGTGATCAGCGGTGTCTTTACATCTCCGGGCTGGACACAAGTCACCCTGACCCCTGACCCCAGGACCTCATGCCTCAAAGCTTGCGACAAGCCCTCCACGTAGAACTTGGTCCCGGAGTACACAGCCAGGCCAGCAAAACCCTGAAGTTGTGAAAAAGATTGAGTGTAAAAGTCAACGCTGATACCAACACCCAATACATGGAACATGTCCACAATGGTCATTCTTCTTCTTCTTCGTCTTTGCACTGCCCTGCCGGATCTCAGGGGTAGCAAACTGCTGGTTCTTCATAATATGTGACTGTTTTTCCTACTTAGTAGTGTCCCTTGCCTTCTGGCAGCCACATTCTAATTTCAATAGTATTCTGTGTGTTTTAATACTGACTAGAGTATTTTCAGTTTTGGCTGGAATATCTCGTATGTTGAATTTTGTTCCGGTCATTTCATTTACCAGACAAATTCAACTGCTGGTGTTGAATCTGAAATCTTAATTTCAACTTTCCATTTCATTTCCATCAATAGCTTTTAAACAAAAAAAAGCGATGCCAACAGACTTTAAGCCCCACCAGTTATTGGCTAGCCAGATGATAAACCAAGCTACTTCTTTGTGCTTACTGAATCACATAGTCAGTCTCAGGACGAGCGAGTGGGAAAACTTTTGTAGCAAGTTTTCGTGCCGACTTGACAAAAAAAATGACTGACTGTGGACACTATGGAAAGAGGCTGCTATGGGCAGGTTAAAAATAAAGGAGCAATAAATGGTGTAATGGAACAGTGGTCATTAGCACAGGTGACTGTTATGGAGAGGTGACCTCTAAGGCTGGTTCTACTGTATTTCAGAATGACTGACCAGGAAAGTGGGAAGCCATGGAATAACATCAATGGGCTAGGAAAAAGGTGGAACGTGTTTGTTTGTGGCCTATACCCTGATCCAGGGGGACAAAGGATGATGATGATGACCAAAAAACTATCTGTTATTAAGTATGGTAAGATGTTGTACCATACTATTCATTCTCAGTAAAAGCTGTTGACAATGTATGTAAATCCCAACTAAACTAAGAACATTAATGCTAGCATAACAAAATTCACATCCACATAAGTTTTTGGCTACAATTAGAGTTTTTTTCCTTTATGTTGTTATGTCTACAATAGCCAAGACACTTAAAAGTACATGTATACATAATTAATTAATCACTTATTATTGTCAGCATCAGAATAACTCTTCATTGATGAAGAACCCAGAAAGAGTAACAAGTTGTTAACTCTGTTAATTCACTCAACCAAAAACCAGAAATCTTTATCTTCAATCTCGAACATTTGTAATACTTCCAGTAATGACATAACGACAATAGTCAAGTTTTCATTATTCAGAAAAAGTTGCACAAAGAGGTATAATAATGATATAAGAGATGTAATAAGAAATATGATATATGTATATGTGTGTGTGTGTGTGTGTTAGTGTGTGTGTGTTAGTGTGTGTGTGTGTGTGTGTGTGTGTGTGTGTGTGTGTGTGTGTGTGTGTGTTTGTGTGTGAGTGTGTGTGTATGTATATGTGCCTGCATGCTGGAGTATGTATGTGTACGTGTACAATAAAAATGCTCACCCGTCTACCGGCATTAGAAGAGATGTTCACAATGTGGCCTCTGCCTCTCTTCATCATCCCATCAAGCACAGCCCCAATGGCATTGGTAACACCCTGGAAGTAAATCAATAATACCCTGCTCACACCTATATCAAACATGCTTTAATTAAAATGTTGTATGCATGAACATGGTACAAAGGGCAGCAGTGATGGTCAAGCGGTTAGTGCGATTATCCACATGAAAATATACACAAAATCAGTGGCAATAGCTTCTGTCTTCTTTTCACACCCTTACTGGATAAAATTATTTGTTTTCAAATGAAGAAAATAATTTTACGCCATGATAGCACATAGTGTCTCACTATATTTGAGAATATGAGCGATTGAACAAAAATTCTTTACAGAACATACCAAATGACTCATTCTTACTAACTACACTAAGAATTGACAGTACAAGTCAAAAGAATGCCCCTCAATAAAAACTCGCCTTCTGCACAAGTAGTCCCACTGTTTTTTAGTGCCTCCCTTGTACAAGTAATCAGGAACACGAGAAGATTATATCTTTTAATATTCACTCCTGTGCACAGATGCATCGCTTTTGGGGGTCAAACAGCTGTATTTTTTGTGAAAAATCATGCATATGACCACTTAACTAAAATCATTTTCAAAACAGTGTCAAACCTAATTTTTCAAAACACCAAATTATGGGAAAACTGGATTGCATGCATCCCCCTCAATGATACCCCCCTGATAGGGCCAAAACATAGAAGGCTATGACACAATTAGGCTTAGCATAATATAGCTCGAATAAAAACAATTTCGCTCAGTGTCACAATAAATTACCTTGGTAACTAATAAGGAAGGTTTTGTAACAGTGAACCAAAATGTCGCATACGGAGAGTGCTTGATGTACATAGCTCTTGATCTAAATATTCAGTCAAGTGGGGGACATTCTCTTGACTTTTGCCAAATTAAAATATAATAAAAATTTAAGAAAATCACTGTGCACCAACTGACCTTACAGTTGACGTCAATCTGTCTCTCCCATTCATCTTCATGCATGTTCTTCATCATTGTGAAGTACATGAGCCCGGCACAGTTCACCAGAATGTCCACAGGACCCAGGGAAGACTCTGCTTGGCGGACCAAAGCTTTCACCTCAACAACAGAAAACGTGATACACTCATTACTAATGTTACTATTAGTTTTACAGCAGAATAAATGCTGAAGACATGAATATAGCTGTGTATATTTTATAAAATGTCCAATATTTCACCAATTCTGGTTTCTTCAGTAACCCAATGTTATTCTAAGGAAGACTATTAGTAGCAGAAAACAAGGTTCTAATACTGATTTCTCTTGCCATAGGAGAATATAAAATTAAAACATACCCTCTCAAACAGAAAGAGTAGCCTGACACGCAGTTCAAATATATAATTCCAATATTGAGTATATTAATACGAATCCAAAAAATAAAATGTACATAATATGTGATTCCGGAAAGATCTGTTAAAAATGTTTCACTGTCAAAAATACAAATAATGCCATGTCTTCCTCGGACATCACAACATTTTTTTTTACTTTGCATTTTGGTCTCTTGTCCCTGCCTTTGCGGGGTGGTATGTTAATGAATGATCTTATTCATGTCAAACAATCATTGAACACGAGCATGTGAGTCAATAAGTACAATGATATTTCATCACTAAAATGAAACAATAAAAAAATATGAATTTCAAAGATTAGATCTGTCGATTTGAATTTCATTATTCAATCAATTCCCTTTTTCTAGCTAGTGTAACCTATTCTAATTTAGAACAGAGTTGGTACAGTTCCCAGTAGATTACTAATAATAATAGATAATCGATAGCATTTGTATAGCGCAAAGTCCCACTCAACAGTATGCTCTATGCGCTTTACAAACTATACCATTACCTCAGCAGACCTGATACAATTCTGAAACAATCTCAACTTCTTGGAAAGCATACAGTGCAAGCTGCCATTTATAGGCCCTAGTACACTAACATACTGACAAGATCTTCTGCTGTCTACTACTTACTTGGTCTCTGCTTGTCACATCTGTCTTCACAGCGATGGCCTCACCACCTTCGTCATTGATTCTCTTGGCGATGCCCTGGATGACTTCCTCCCTGCGGGCGGCTAAGGCCACTCTGGCTCCTGCAGCAGCAAGCGCCTTTGCAGTGGCTTTGCCGATACCGCTGGAAGCGCCTGTCACCACGGCAACACGGTCTGCCAGTGGTTGATGGACTGAGGAAAATTATATGAGAAGATTCTCTAAATGTTTGAATTTACCGAACCTCCCCAGTGGTATAATCCAATTATCAAACTGCGAGAACATTTTACTGGTGAATTTATTATAACACGCAAGTATTTTAAGAATTTTAAATGTAGGTGTTTTTAAGCCCCCATCAACATGATTTAGATCATTCAGGTGCCGGAATTGTGCGTTTTTGGGTGTGTGTGTGTGTGTGTGTGAGTGTGTGTGTGTATGTGTGTGTGTGTGTGTGTGTGTGTGTGTGTGTGTGTGTGTGTGTGTGTGTTAATGTCTGAATGTGTTTCAGATTTTGTGTGTATGTGTGTGATTAAATTTAAGGGGCAAAGTGTGCACATCTGAGTAAATAAAAAAGAATCCACACACAGCTGTATGTATGAATGACTCATGAGCGCCTGTGAGCATACTAGTACATGAACTTCCTTGGACATAAATTAGGACAATAGAAAAGCGGATAACAACTTCAATGCAGTAGCCTTTTCGGTGCTAACCATAAATTTAAACAACACAAACATTTTCCTCTCTCAATCATTGAGAAAGATGTTGGCTTTAAGAACTGTAATCTGTTCTGTTTTTCAAACAGTAGGCCTACTAAGTACCAAAAAACCAACAACAAAAAAAACCAAGATAAGTTCTGCAACAAACACAAAAATGAAGTGTACATCTTTTAACATATGAAATGCAGCCAGAAAGGGAATTGAGCGGTAGCGAGGATAGTGCAGTGAATTGATTGTTTGTTAAACAGGAATCTGATGATGGGTGGTCAAGATGGGACTATAAAATATCATAAATATTGGAATCACTCGTACTGCAAAGGTATACAAGTGAAAAACAGTCTGTTGATGCGGAGGATTCTGTTTCCCATCTGTGGTCTCAAGTGTGTTCTGGGTTACCAATCATTTAGACAAAAGAAATAATTCTTTAAAAGCCATGGAATGTTAAATTCAAGATATTAGGCTGTGAGTGTGAGGAACTCGAGCACATTCTTTATTTCACAAAATCCTTCGATTATGAATGTTTCTATACACCATCGTTGAGCTTGTGATATTCAATAAATGTGCACTTTGAGCCACATAATAAATTAATATTATGCAAAACTGTCACAGACCTGCATCACACCTCATCATTTGCATGCAAGAGAGAAAAACACCTGTTCCACTGAACTGATAGAGACTGAATAAGAACAAGCTGGAAACCATTCAACAATGAACTATTATTGAATTGTATTCTATGGTGACAGAAAAGTAATGATAATGAAATAAAAAATATGTCAAATGGTTGAAATTCAAATCCTCGTGCAATTCTCTCAAAAGTTTACAAGCAAGAGCAGTATACTTCATATGTTTTCCTCATTTTTGTTTCATTCTGTTTTTAAACAAAGAACAACGCAGGTAAGCTAACATTAGTGGAGATGTCATGGTTGGAGTGTTACATCTAACTCCACACAATTTAATTTATTTCAAAGGTAGCACATTATGGCCTCTTAACAGGGTAACAGGGTAAAAGGAAATTATCCACACAGAAGAGAAAAATATTTTTAAACAAAATTAAGACCCAAACAATTTAAAAGGAGGCAACACACGTTTATAACCTGTGCTGCTTCAGCACATAGGAAAGTTGGGAAAAAAATATTTTTTATCAGTATCGACTGAGATTATAACTAAAAGACTAGTAAAGCTATGAACTGTTCATATCAGTTGCCACAGAGTCACTAGTTCAGGTACATCAGCACAAACATATTGTCGACCAGCTGTTACAATGTACTGAGCTCAACATTTTAAAAATATTTTATTTATTGCAGTTTCTTCATCAGTTCCATGTGCCCAAGAAAAATATTGTCAAAAATCAAATTTTAAATGAAGAACCCCCCCCAAAACGAAAAAAACCCCCCAAAAAACATAATTATTTTGAGTACATTTGTAAAAAAAAAAGAAAAACAGTTTTTCCACTCTCCTGTAAAGTTTTGCTTTGTGGGCTAAGTAAATTTAAACAGCTTGCCGATGAATCCAAAATATAGTAGTAATATCAGACAGTGGACGGATAGGAATCCTTGCATAGTAGCCCGTGGGTTGAGCCCAAACCACATGGCATGTAGCACAAATCAGAAAAATAGGAAAAATTTAATGGCAAGTGCATGCATAATTAAAGTGAGTTACTTATCACAGTTCTGACTGGCAAACTGATAGAATGCTTTCACAGTAAGAATTTAAAATGTGTCTTGGCGACCAAAGTGAAAAAAAAGTACTAAAAGTATCCTTTTGACAAGGTATTAAAACTATAATAAAAAATTTTTTTTTTTTTATTTAAAGAAGAGACATCAATAGACAAGAGAGAGTTGATCAAACCTTCTAAAATATAATAATTAATACATGGTCTAAAATAAAACTTTATTTTCAGTAGGCGTATTTTGAAAGGTGCTTTACTATATTAAATAATTCACTGCTGTACTGATATTTTCCTTCTTTCCCATATTATGACAAAAAATCTTGTCTCTGTTTCACAATATTTTTCTTTTCCCTCATTTTCCAATGGCAGGGATGACATTACAGAAAAAAACTAAAAAACTCATAAACAACCTTTAGAACCTAAACATACTCAAGTGGCTGTATGATTATTAAAAAACCCTTTATTTTTAACCAGAGAATTTGCAAAAGGATATAAAAATAGTCGAGGGTAATTGTATGAGTGCAGAATTCTTCAATAGGAACATGACAATAAAGAAGTTGAAAACTAAAGTAGGCCTCGGCCTATGTCTGGAGGAAAAAATTCCACAAAGTCTGTGTAAGGAACGAGTTCAAGTCTTAATTCATTCATGATGAGAAGGGATTATTATATGAGTTTAAATTCATTCATGGTGAGAAAGGAGGAAAGGCTATTATTGTTAGAGACTGGCTTGTATTACCAACAAGATTGATATTTTGAATACATGTATTTATTTATAATGGCTCTAATTTACAACAGTCATGATATAACATTAAAAGAACTTTTGCAGTAGTTCTATATTATTAAATACTATTTGGAATGAAAGCATGCACTGATTATAACACTTTGGTAAATCAAATACAATCAAATAGATGAAACATTATGTACAGCGGGATGGAACCGTCTTTAACTGTAGCAAAAGTAACCAAATATCTCTTATTTTTTCTCATATTAATTGAAATTGCAAAAGGGATAGGGGAGGGTGCAGCAGAGGGGTAGCACATATATTATTTTTGTAACGATAAAATTTGAATTTAGTTTTTACTTTAAGTACCTAATTCTAGAAATTCTTAAACTACAGATTTTGCTCCACAAAATGTTTAAATTACAAACTAACGCTAGCTCAGTTTCACTTTTCTCCCACTTTTCATAAGTGCATATCTTGTAACTCTGCCATTTATAATATTTCTTCCTCTTTTAAAAGTAAAAAAAGCAGGAAAATTTCAAAGCATGGATTTGGAAACCAAACTCACAGTTTTGATTCTGTGTACCCCCTGAGGATGGAAGAGTTTCTTTTCTGTGAGGAAAAATCTTTTCCCTGAACACTTCATCAGCATTTACCCACAGAACAATTTAATGAATTTAGAAAAAGCAAAACTAACTAACTAGAACCCTGGGGGTAAAAGAGATTACAGTGAAATCGCAAATACTACCAAAATAGGGATGAGCATGAAACTGGTGATATAATATTAAAACTGGGGATACAACATGTTTTAATGCTGTGCTTTGTTACATTAAAGCACAGACTGATTAATGTTAATTAATGAACTGCCATGACTAGAAGAAGGACAGGGGTGGGGGGGGGGGGGGGGGGTTATAACCGGTTTTGACTCTCTATACAAAAAGTTCATCCGAATTCGCAAGGCTATCATTGTAATCAATTTCTATCATTCATTGAAAAATAAATTTGTTCCCAGGTTGCAGAACATAAAATTTTAAAATGTTTCTTATACTGTATGGAGACATTGTTCTGACCAAGCTTCCACACCACATTTAGCCTTAGACAACTTGAGGATGAAAGACAAAGATTGATTCAACCTCTCCATCTTTTTTATCACTTTTTAAAAGGCTGAGCTAGAGACGGCTTATTATACTTTAAACTAAGAACTGAAACACACACTTAAACTTTACAAAAGAAGTTAATATCATGCCAGAGAAAGTTGAGGCTTGAGTCTTCATTTGGCAGAACAAAAATAATTATATCTGATTGAACTGATCAAATTGTTCTGCAGGAATAATTCGGCAGGAATAATTCTGCCCTAATCAGGGATAATCACGTTTTGGCCTCAGCAATACTTACTCTCCAAACCGTACCTCTGCACTCTAACCTGTACTTAGAAACTAACCTTAACCATGAAATTATAAATTAAATGATATCGGTACCCTTATAGCCAAAACTGAAATCAATCGACCCAAAGCTTATTATTCTATTTTTCTATTTATAGAATGATGAAAACCAATCTTGATTGTTTCAATTTTTGGTGAAACTCGACATGAAAATTGTTCTTTAGAAAGATAGTGTCCGTGTCCGAATCCGAATAGACACTGTGCAATAAAACACAGTACATGTAGTATTGTACCCGGAGAACATGTTCCACACTTCTTGAGTAAATGGACAGCACCAGCAGCTGATTCCATATATGAATACCATGATTATGTCAAGATGGAGAGCCTCCAAAATCAAGGGGTGAAGGCCTGCAGCATCACTACTGTACTTCACTAACTGCATGTACATAGGAAATAATAAAGAGCTAGACAGGCCAAAAAGGGCAAAGCGAGGGGACAACTAAGAACTGTGTAAGAAGACAGCAGAAACACTACCATCCTTTCTCACCATCAGCCATATTGGTCAAGGCTTTTAAAAGTGTGTCTCGTCTACTTCAGGCAGGCATGCTATCACTGTGAGAATAAGGACACCGGCGTGCAAGCTACCGCTCGAGCACTATCAGCTGTTACCCTTTTTGTTTACAATTCAAATCACCCAGAGTGAATGCCCTTCTTTGCATGGAGATTTTCATAAAAGGGCTCTCACTGTGTTATTTGGCATAAAAGGAGGGATTGGTCGGTTATCTCCCCTAAAAGGGGCGTGGTGAGCTAATTCATAATAATAATATTTAGTTTTTACTTTTTAAAGGATTCTTATTATTCTCTGAGTTATGTCATTCAAGAAATGTAATCAATCTTGTGAGTTGATTTAAAATCAAGTTGTCTTTGTTTTCTTGTTGCTTGTTTTCTTCTTGGGTTTTTTTTCTCCTCCAATGTCACTTATTATACTCATATAATAGGGCACATTTTGAAATGCAGCCCAAAAATTGTAAGACAGGATTTGGTTTGTGAAGACAGAAAAGGAGGGACACAATCATGCAAGTTCAAAATCGAATGCTTCTGCTACGGAAGCAACGACTACTAGCCTATTACCATTGCTACAACAACAACAACAACAACAACAACAACAACTAACAACACAACAACAACAAGAGCAGCTGCTTTCTACTGCTACTGCTGCTGCTGCTGCTGCTGCTGCTGCTGCTGCTGCTGCTGCTGCTGCTGCTGCTGCTGCTGCTGCTGTTGTTGCTGCTGCTATGACTACTATTTCTACACACACAAAAACTACCGTAACTTTTACTGCTACTAAATAAACATTTAGATTTTAAATAATGAATTTGTCTACAGACTATAAAAGTCTAAACATAATATGTTCGTTAACATACAGATAGTGCTTTTCCTTCTCCCAAGCACACTCCTGTTGGTGAGCTCTGTGAAGTAGGTCCTCAGCAGTCGTATGTCTGTGTACGGGTACAGCATGCCCAGCTGTGACAGCAGACTCTGCATGTTCTGGTTGTCGTAGGTGCTCAGGTTGGTCAGGAACGTTGATTCACTGTTCAAGATAAATAAATACCCATTCACACCTCGGTGGTGAAGAAAATTCTTGTAAAATGCCTTTTCCAAGGACACAACGTTGGGCCTGACGCTCGATTTCTCAAACCCGTTAACTCATGTCAACGAGTCCGGGTAGCCAAACCGCTAGCATAACGGATGCCATAAGTAAAAGTAAAGTAAAGTTGTTCCAGCATCCGATCCGGGTATTGAGGATTGCTTTGTTAATGAGACAACTTCCTAGCCCTTAAGCATTATTGTGGTAGGGGGGGCCAGTTCCTTTCCACGGGCCTTTACTTCCCCAACTTGAAGTTAGGTACCCATTAATGCAGGGTGGGCAGGAGGGGTCGAAAAAAATCTGTGTCTGAACCGAAGCTCGAACCCGGACTTTCCGCTTCATGAACGAGCGCACTTACGGCTCCGCCACCGCACCCTCATGCCATAAGTGCTATGAGCAAAAGAAAATAGATTAGGTACTGTCCCAAAACTATCGTAATCTTTTCAGGGTTATCATAAGGGGCTTACCTGACATATGACTCCAATACTCTGGCCATTGTCTCTGCACTAGGCCCACTGGCACCATTTAGAGCATCCAGTTCTTCCACGACCCTGAACATGGAGGGATTGGGGAGGATATTTTTTTTTTTTTGAGGAAGAAGGGGGAGGGGGTGATTAAAGATTAAGCTATACTTATGTACAGGTACGAAGACTAGCTATAGGTGAAAATCTGGTGATGTAGTCCTTTTCTTCAAATCAGCTTTGAGTAAAACAATGACGACACTAAAAGACGGTAAACTAAATGGAAGACGGAAAACTAAAAGATGGAAAAAGGGGAAGGGGTGATTAAAGATTAAGCTATACTTATGTAGCCTACAGGTACGAAGACTAGCTATAGGTGAAAATCTGGTGATGTAGTCCTTTTCTTCAAATACCCACTGTGTAAAACAAAGACGATACTAAAAGATGACACCTGTTTAAAGAAACCACTAAATGGATGTTTCAACAGTATAACACAAGAACTTCTAAGAATTCTACACCTTCTCTCAAACATTGGTAAAGATGTAGAGCAACCCCCCCCCCCCCTCCACATCCCCCACAACCAAAAAATGTTTTTAAATTAAAAAGTTAGGCCTACCTTTTCTTCCACTCATCAAAATCTAGAAGCATCAAAGGGTAGCCATGAGTATTCATCCACTGGAAGACTTCCCTGAAAATAAGCACAGAATTATAAGCATGAACAGAATATTGAATTGTTGCACAGATGTTAAAAGACATTGTTAAGTTTTTGACAGTTTGTTGCCTAAAGTTTCAAAAATATCCCAAAGTCAGGCAGTTTTTCATAATATCCAGAACTGTATGTTTTCAAATTTGCCATTGACGTGGACTGAGAGGGATTCAACATACCAGCAGACAGAGACGCTGGATTAAAAACACCTTTCCCCACGAAAATCGAACTCACTTCTTCTGTGTGAGACAACAAAGTGCCTAAGGGCTACACCAACGATACTGGTAAGTAAACGCATGACGTATGTCTCTCAAACAAAGAAACAAAGAAAACAAAGAAACAAATAAAACAAACAAACCAAAACGTTTAAAAAAACAAACAAATATAAAGTATAATTTTGATCTCTGGACACCACAGGGGCCTACATAATCTATCAGAAGTGGAAAGTACACGAATGACAAGAAAACAGAAGACGAAAAAATCAACCCACAAAACAAAACCTGGTTATATGAAAATGGCTGATAACAATCACTTTCACATAAGAAAAAAACACCAAAATCTCACCTTGCTTTCATTGGCTTATCATTGATCAAGTGTAACGTTCTTCCAAGTGCAGAATCTGGTGTCTGCGTCAATTTGACAATAACTGAGGCAGCAAAGTCTACTGGCGTCATTTCTATGTCCCAGTCCACGTTTGGTGCCAGGCCTGTCTTGGCGCATGCTTGGATAATCAACAGAGTAAAGTCTTGTGGGTTCCAGAAAGCTTTCTTCGAATCGCCGGACAAGTTCCCTGAGGAAATGAGAACAATATAATAATGATGTTTTGTTATGTCTAAATATTGTCGCCAAAATTATAGACCAGACCTAAGCTTATAATGTATCATAACAAAAATAAAAATGCTGACACGTTACAAATACAGTCTTGCACTTATGATCGTGAGTTGCATAAAGATTCCAGAGCATGCCTCATTGAAGTTTTAAAAAAATAATGTTAAGCTCTCTGTGCAACTGATGTTTTTATCAGCATAACATAGAGTAAACAGAAACAATAGTGTGAATGTTTGTCATTTCTTTGTTTCGTTTGTTTGTTTGTCTAATTAATTATACTTAAAATTTCAGCTGTAGCGATGGACACTTTTATGTGAAACAGATTTCAATTTTCTGGTAGGTGAAACAAGACACCATTTTACCTAGGGCAGGCACCCCTCTCCCCAAACAAACAAACAAACAAACAAACTAACTAACTAACTAACTAACTAACTAACTAACTAACTAACTAACTAACTAAC